CGCGCGCCCCCCCCCGCGCCCCACTCCGCCTTCCCAGGCTCACAACAACCGCATCCGGTCGTACCTGGTCAGTTACCTCGGGCCCCGCGTTGGTTCTGTCTGGCTTTCAGCGGGGATAGGAAAGGGAGCCACCTGGCTGGGAGAGGATGGGCAGGGTGGGAAGTCGCCGCTGCCCCTCCGATGAGCCCCTTCCCTTTGTCTGCTTCCTCTCCTCCTTGAGCGCTGCAGTGCTGGGCTTTTAAGGCTGAGGAAGACCGAGTCTCTGCTTTGGTCAAGAGTTCTCTAAGACAAGCCCCCCCCCACTTCTGCGGCCTCTTATCCCCGCTTCCCAGCAGCGCTCCCTTGAATTCCTCATAGACATGGAATCGCGTTTCTATTCCAGGCTAGTTCACTTCCATCTGTCATTTTACATTTCACGCTGGACCGACAGCAAACTTTGGTGTTAGTTATGTGCTGTCAAGTTGGAATCCACTTACAGCCACCCTAACAGGATTTTCAGACACATAAGGAGTGTTTTTTTTAAAAATCAGTTCCATGGTAGGTTTCCATGGTCAAGCAGGAATTTGAATTTAGGATTCGAATCCAGGTCTCCTAGTCCGCCACCCTATCCACTACATCGCACTGGAGGAGCCAACTTGCCTCAGGCTGACATTTCAAGGCCAGGCCCTCAGGAAGGACTCTGTGCCAAGATCAGCCCTTTCAGGTTGGTTTGATCTAGAGATGTAAACAGTTACTGCTTGGGATTATGGTTCTAGAACATCCCAGGCGGTATGGCCACTGGCTAGACTGACTGGGGTACTTGGAGGAAAAACAACAACTTTTCCATATCTGGTTTGGACTGTAGCCCTCTGTCCCAAAGTGTGTGAAGACGAGGGCTTGCTCCAGTGTGGCCTCCCATACCATCCGAATCTAAGGAATACTGTACTTCTTTTGGGCAGCAGTCCTTGAAAAACACAAAACAAGACATAACAGTACAATGTAAAATGTAAAGCAGTTTCAACCCTAATTAACTATTCTAATTTTCCATCAAGGAATGTTGGAAACTATTTATCTGGAAGGGACCCCAAGGAAGAGTTCTGCCCCACCCCCTTCCTGCTGCTGCTGTTTGCTGTCAAGTTGCTTCTGACTTACAGTGACCATATTAGAACTGAAAAGGTCCTGCTTGGCTCTTGCAAACAAAATGCCATGGTTTCTTTTATTGTATCAATCCATTTCATGGGAGGTACTGTATTCCTTTCTTCATATTGCCTTCCACTTCAGCGCTATGATCTTTTGCAGCGAGTTGCGTCTCCTCATGGCATGTTCACAGTGTAATAGTCTCAGCCTAGACATGTTATAGCTTCTAGGCTTGATTTAACGTAGAACCCACTTATTTATCTTTCTGGTGGTTCAACTCTGTTCCAGTACAGCATTTCAAGTAAACTGATGTTTCACTTGTTAAGTGTCTTGATGTCCGACTTTCATGATCTTATACAGTAACTGGCTATGCCACATTCTGGATTATCTTGTCTTCAGTCTCCAGTGACACATCCCTACACTTAGGTATCATTTCTAAATCCTTCATAACTGCCCTTCCAAATCTTAGCCTTCTGTTTTGGATGCATGACTGAACCAAGGCATCAAAAATATTTTAACAAATTTGATTTCTTCATTGTCAACACTGATATTGCTCTTTAGCACTCATTAATGTTAAAACTCTTCTAAAGTCATTATTTTTATCATCTTGGTTTAATAATCTTGCTTTTGCATTTTCCTCTTCACCTTTAGTACTCATTTGAAGCCATTACTACTTTCTGTCAGTAATGTGGTATCACTGGCATATACATTCAGTTCTTGATGTTTCCTCACCAATTTCCACTCCTCCTAAAGGTCACCCGGACCGTCCCCAGAGAGTTCAGCTTGGGGAGAGCGTCTCGGCCCCGTGGAGTCTCAATTGTGGGGTTCCACAGGGGTCGATTATCTCCCCAATGCTGTTTAACATCTATATGAGGCCGCTGGGTGGGGTCATTAGGGGATGTGGGGCTTCGTGTCATCAATATGCCGATGACACCCAGCTCTATATCTCCTTTTCACCAACTGCAGGTGATGCTGTCCTTTCCCTTCAGCGTTGCCTGGGGGCCGTACTGCAATGGATGCAGGAGAACGGACTGAGGCTGAATCCGGATAAGACGGAGGTTCTGAGGGTGGGTGCCCCCGTGGTAGGTGGCTTGGGTGGCTCTCTCACATTTGGGGGGACCACCTTGGCAGTGAAGAGTGGGGTCTGCAGCCTCGGCATATATTTGGACCCGACGCTCACCATGGAAACTCAGGTGGCGTCGGTAGTCCGCACTGCATTTTTCCATCTTTGGCGGATTGCCCGGCTGCGACCCTATCTTGACATGGGGGCGCTCACTACCTTGGTGCATGCGCTCGTAATCTCAAGATTAGATCACTGTAACACACTCTACATGGGGCTGCCTTTGAGGCTGACACGGAAACTTCAGGTGGTGCAGAATGCAGTGGCCAGGCTCCTTACAGGAGTGAGAAAATATCAACACATCTCTCCAATGCTGGCC